TAAGAACATCTTCAACAATTTCGTGAAGAGAACGTGTATTATTGATATTCATAGCCCCCTTCATGATTCGATCTCCTATAGTTCTAAAAAGTTGGGATTTACCTTGCTTCACTGTATCAATACCTTTAATGAAAAGACCTTCTGGTTTAAAGTTTACTTCTTTCTCATGAGTTATTCCGAAATATTTTTTCTTACCAGTAAAACGAACTGGAAATAATACTTCCTCATAGGCCATTTTAAGATGATTTGAACCAGTTCTCAATTTGAAAAAGTATTTACTTCATCACATAATTTTTTCATTACATACATAGTAATTTCAACCATTTTGCTCCAATACTCTAGCTTTAAATCACGCCTTTACCATTATCATAAGCAAGATCACATTCTTTATAATAATTATTAGGGGATTTAAGATATAATGAATCAGTATCACCATACATAATTTCAAAACCCTTCTTAGTTACATAATCTGCAACGAGTTTGATGATATGCTGTCCCGCTGTTGTAATGCCTCCAGCCAATACTCGAAGAAAGAAAGGAGATTTGCTATTTCCAGTTTCACCATAAAAGGTATTCATAAAAACCCTAATAGCTTTCTATTTTGAGTCCAAACAATTATAATCAAAACATATAGAAATATACTCCGAGTTTAAACTATCTGGAATATTTTTATCTTTTACTCTATTGAACTTATTAATTTACTGAGTCGTTTCTTTTTCTCGCCCAATATAGGAAGTTTTGATTTAAGCTCTACTCGTTTATTTAGAAGATCCAGTAACACATCGGGATATAACCCTTTTTTTTCAGATTGATTATTATGACGGACACACCAAGCATTGAGTATACGATTATTGAATGGGAAATCAATATTATATAGGTCACATCCCTTAGCACGTACTAGATCAGCCTCTTCACGATTTAATATTATTTTTTCGGAGAGAGATTATAGGTCATCATAAGGCTAGAATATAGTGATGCAAAATCCAAACCTGTTACTGGCCTTTTAGTTTCAATACCTTTTTTAGGTGGGAAAACGTATGCACTAGGATAGTTTTCTTTTTCTATTTTTAACCCGATTTGTGGTAAACAATATATTACGCTTGAATGCATAAGCACCCAGAAGATTTCTTACTTTCATTCCATTTGCGCGATAGTGGGTGTCAAATAAAGATACATAAGCAATAGAAGCAACCTCTCTATAAACATTTATCGCATTGTGTACAACCATAAGTTCTTGACAACTTAAAGCATCTTTAAAGCAATACTCAGCTATTTTACGCATCCCCGCCACATTCCCACTTTCATAAATTTTATTCATGGCGGGTATCGGCATATCAACTTTACCCACAAGACCACATTCTTTTAAATAAAAATTCAGTGAGCTACGTTTCCCTACTTCTGAACGAGGATTAAGTTTCATGAATGATACACGAACATCAATTGGAATACATCCTGGTATTTTTAGAAAAGTAGATTCGAAATCCTGGTAAAGATAATAACTGTGTTCAGCGATTTATAAAACGGACGAGAAAAAAATATGAAAATAAAATTCCAGATCCTGGTGAGCGATTTAGTTATGTGGTAACTACGATTTTTATGTTTTATCATCCAAAATGGGAAAATTTATATGCGGAAGAGTATCAATACCATCAATATGATGATGACGACAATAGTAGTGTGTTGTCGATGATAATTTTACATGTGAATGAATAAACACTTCCAATACAAGGTCCAACAGTTCATTGGCTTCGAGTTCCAATGATTTAAGCGGTGGTTCCAGAAGACCTTTAAAAAAACGAATCGTAACACATGGTTTGTGTGTAAGTATTTTGAAAAAGTGAAAGATTCAAATGGAAATGAATTCGTAATTTGCAAATTAAAAAAAAAGTTATTATTATAAAAAAAAAATTTAGTTGACTAAAGAAATTTTTGACCAACTAGTAGTCGGCTAGAATTTTTGGACGCGATACTAAAAAAGTAAACCTTTTGGCGTTGGTAAAACTTTGTTAATGTAACTGACCCACGAATAGCTGGAGTAAATTTTTCAGAAGTTTCATTTAATTGAACTTTTAATCTACAAATGCTATGCTCATTGCCCATTTCTAACGCCTAATAGATAACATAATTATTATTAAATTAAAATAATAAATGGGTAAATTTTATTTTTAATGTATCCACTAAGAATACTTATTGCATCCATGAATTCAAGAACATTCGAAGGAATTTTTTGTACTCCTTTTCTAGAATAATTTCTATCAAGCGTGATTTTTAATAAAGCGTTCTTTAAATATTTTAAAAAGTTGCAAGTTGATAGACTTTTTTTTTTTTGATAAATTGAAACTTATAGATCAATATTTTGTTTGCCTCGCAATAATAAAATTTTCAATGTAATATTAATATTGATTGTAAAGTTTCTTTAAAAAAAAAATCGCACATCTCGAATTTCAATAATGCATCTTATATTTTTTTATTTAAAAATTTTTTAATATAAATACGTGATAATTAAATCTCGTAATAACGACCCTCGTTGTAACGGGTTTCAGACATTTAAAATCCGTTATAACGAATCTACTAGTACTAGTACTAATATAGTCACGTTATAATAATAACGGTTTTATTATGATAATAATCAATTAATTGCTTATAGTAACAACTGGTAGCTTCAAAATACTAAATCAAAAAAGTTTCATAACATTTTAAAAAGTTAATCGATAAATTTTATTGTTCGTGACTCAAGCTTCAAAACCTATCGGCTAGGTTTTCTGAATTGGCAGAACCTTAACATTTTGAAAATTCCAAATTTTGTTATACAAAGCAAACTTTGTGTAACTAAAATAATTTTTTCATTAGAATACTCTTTCTTTACAAAATATATTGATTGATTTATTATTTCCTTTTTTTATTAATGATAAAAGTTCTTATTATATATTTACAACAAAAGGAAATCATTATCGAATTTGGTCATGTAATTCAAAATGTCGTAACACGAAAATTATTTATTGCATTTCTGAGCATAACTCTCAACTTTAGAAAAAAACTTGAGACGGATTTTTTACATGAATTGACACCCTTTTTAAAGCTGAACTGAATGGTGGTGGTTTTTAAAATCTTACATGTGGATCACATAATATTTCAAATTTTGAGTATAGATGACCCGCACTGTATATAATATTAAAATTCGTTATAACACGTATTCAATTAGGTTACGTTCGCTATAACGAGGTTTGTCTGTATATAAAAAAAAATTGATTGCCAATCATCTTTACAATTTAAATAAAAAATTTTAAAATTTAATATACAAGAAATTAAAAATGGAAAAATATCTTGATCCAAAAAAAGCTTTAAATTATTTATCAGAATATAAAAATTCTGACGGCTTATCAGCCAAAAATCTTATAGATTCACATAAACATGGAGGCTTAACTTATAATGATTTTCTTATTCTACCAGGATACATTGATTTCTTGTCTTCTGAAGTAACTTTAGAAACAAAGATTACAAGAAACATCACCTTAAAGACTCCTTTTATGAGTTCACCGATGGATACAGTCACTGAGACTAATATGGCTATAAATATGGCTGTCAGTTTTAATTTTTAGTTTATTAAAATTTAACAGATATTTGTTTTTTACTCTCAATTTTTGTATAAATGACTTTTTTTTTAATTGATTAGTTATTAGGTGGGGTTGGCGTGATCCATCATAATTGTTCGTCTGATGAACAAGCTGAAATGGTTAGAAAAGTGAAAAAATTTGAAAATGGCTTCATAACAGATCCAGTATGTTTAACTCCAAATCATACAGTGGCTGATGTACATAGGATTAAAGCTCAATTCGGTTACAGTGGCATTCCAATTACTAGTAAATATGATTATTATTTTTTTTTTTTTGTATTTATTTTTTATTAAAAAATTTTGATTTTTATCTTTAAAATGATTATTAATATTTTTAAAAAAATTTATCTAGCTAATGGAAAATTATATAATATATTACTTGGTATTGTTACTGCTCGTGATATTCAATTCCATGAAGATCACACCACATTACTTCGAGAAGTGATGTCAACTGATCTTGTAGTGGCACATGAAGGAGTAACTCTTGAAGAGGCAAATCAAATACTTCGATCTAGTAAAAAAGGAAAATTACCAATTGTCAATTCTCGTGGTGAATTAGTTTCTTTGCTAGCCAGATCTGATCTATTGAAAAATATTAATTTTCCATTGGCCTCTAAATCTGCTCACTCCAAACAATTGATATGTGCTGCATCCATTGGGACACGTCATGAGGATAAAACAAGATTACACAAGTTGGTTGGGGCTGGTCTAGATATTGTTGTGTTGGATTCAAGTCAAGGCAATTCCATTTTTCAAGTTGAGATGATCAAATATATTAAACAAACTTACAATGATTCATTGGAAATTATTGCTGGTAATGTTGTTACCAGAGAACAGGCTGCAAATTTAATTGAAGCTGGTGCTGATGCATTACGTGTTGGAATGGGAAGTGGTAGTATATGTATTACACAAGAAAGTTAGTATGTACAAAAAAATTGTTGTTGTGTTGTTGTTGTTGTTGTTGTTAATATTTGATTTCACAATATATAATCAATTATTAGCTATAGCAACAACAACAATAATGATAATTGCAATAATAATAACAATGACAATAATAATAACAAATTTTTATTACTATTAAGTTATGGCTGTAGGTCGTCCACAGGGTACAGCTGTTTATAATGTAGCAGAATTTTCAAATAGATTTGGTATCCCAGTTATTGCTGATGGAGGTATACAAAACGTGGGTCACATTACAAAAGCCTTAGCATTGGGTGCATCTGCTGTAATGATGGGTGGATTGCTTGCTGGTACCACAGAATCACCTGGTGATTATTATTATCATGATGGCCAAAGATTAAAAAAATATCGTGGTATGGGATCATTGGATGCTATGGAACGTGTAATCAACATTAACACTGTCAGTAGCACTATTATTAATAATAGTGCTAGTAACAGCAATAATAATGGTAGTATCACTACAAGTAAAAGTAATAGTAGTGGTGGTGTTAGTATTGTTGGTGGTGATGACATTGATAAAGTTGACAATGCATCAACAAAAAGATATTATTCTGAAAGAGATGTAATTAAAGTTGCACAGGGTGTAACAGGTTCAGTAGTTGATAAAGGAAGTATTAGGAAATTTTTACCTTATCTGGTAACGGGTCTACAGCATGGTTTGCAGGATATTGGTGTTAAGAGTTTAACACAATTAAGAGAGAATGTTAAATCTGGTAAAGTTAGATTTGAATTAAGAACCATGGCTGCTCAAGTCGAAGGTGGTGTACATGGATTATATACGTGAGTATTATTATTATTATCCTTTTTTATTTGTTTTTTTTTTAGTCAATTCTAATCATTAGTTTTTTAATATCCTGTTGATATTAGATATGAAAAACGTCTTTATTCTTAATTTAACTATTAATTATTATTGATTATTATTATTAATTTGGTGTCACACAACACATAATTAAAATATATTTAATATAAAAAAAATGATTTTTCGTTTTGTTATTCAGCACCATTATTAAATTGGGAATTATACATATCAGCCACCTAATTTATAAATAATAATAATAATAATAGTTAACATATATATATATGTCTTCTTATTATATATAATGAATATTAAAATATTTTACTTGATCATTAGTAGTTGCTTCTTCAGGTTTCTTATCAGTTCTTATTCTAACAAAACGTGGAAAACGTAATGAAACACCTTTAGATGGATCAGCCTAAAACATCAAAATATATAATCTTAATAATTATTTTTAGATGATATTATAATAAGAAAAAAAGTGTATAACTTTACTTGTCCTATTGCAGCTTTATATATAGGAGATTTACTAATATCTGCTGCTTTTATTTCCCAGACTTGACAAGGTTCAAACCAAACATCAGGTTTAGTTGCTTTATCATAATTATAATAACTTTTAGCTCCTTCAATTTCATGTTCCTTAAGGAATTTGTAATGAGTTTCTAAATCTGCATCAGAAAATCCTGTACCAAGCTTACAAATTGTTTGGTACTCTTCATTATCTGGATCAAAGCATGCAAGAAGAAAAGTTCCATAAAAATTGGTACGTTTTCCTCTTCCATAATCTGCACCAATAACCACAAGGTCCAAAGAATCTCCTGTTCCTGTAATATAGTCTTTTTTAAGCTAATACAATAATAACAATAACAATAATAATTATTAAAAATCTAAATAAATATTATATACATCTATATCTATATATGTATATATTACTTTTAACCAATTCCTTGACCGTTTAGAAGGTTCATAAGATGATTCAGATCCTTCATAAATTTTTATCATCAAACCTTCACAATTATTTTTAACACTCTCATCAAGAAATGATTGGATTTCCTCAGTGTTAGTTGCAATAATTTCATGTGCAAAGGCAAATTCTCCTTTGATTTCTTGAAAAGAATTATACAATAGTTCACGCCTTTCAATTAATGGTTTCTTGAGAAGTGACTGTTTACAATGGTAATATGAATTTATATTTGAGAAAAATTGAATCTAATCATTACTATTATAAATCTGATAATAATAAAATTAGTCATACCTCTCCATTTAGATATAATAGGTCAAATGCAAACAAACAAACTTTGACTTTTATGTCTGATCCTTTAACATCTTTTCTTTTCCTTGTACTTAACACTTGAAAAGGAAGAAGACAATCTTTTTCTAGATCCCATGCAACAACTTCACAATCAAGTATAAAAGATTTTATACCATGTTTTACAAACTGCAACAGATATTAAAGAAAATTGTTAAAAAAAATTTTATAATAATGACCTAATACAATAATAGTAATATAAGCAATTGAAATTACCTTAGACAATTTCTCAATTATATCAGGAAATTTCACAGAATTGTCTTCCAAATTTCTACTATAAATTTTTGCAGAACCATCATCCAATTTATGAATCTATTATATCAAAATAACATGCTAAATTAGATATAATATAATATGATTTTTATCTATCTATATATGTAAAAAAGTTAAAGACAATGATTGTAATTATTATTGCTACTATTATTATTAAATTACTAACCTGAGCACGTTCACCATCATATTTAAATTCACAAGTAAACTTATGTCCTTCAACACGATCAAGTACTTCTGTTATACTTTTAGTTGGAAATGCCAACATAGGTTTAAGTGGAATTCCTTTTTTATTATTATAAAAAAGTTTTAATAAAAACTAACATGGCATTTTGCAATTTCAATATATATATATATATATATATATATATGCATGTGTATAAATCTATATATTTATATACCTGGTGTCAATTTACAATGCTCTTCAAGTCCTTGTATCCCATGTTTTAGCAAGATTGGGACCATAATATCATAAGATGGAATTTCACTTTTTACAAAAAAAAAGTTTTTTAAAAGTAATTAAGTTGATATGTTGATAATTTTATAAAAATAATATATATATAAACCTATAAACAGCTTTAACAATGATTGGGGCATCTGCTAATAATTGAATTTTGGTAGGTGTAGGTAATTTTTCATATCCTAATAAATAGATAACATTAATATTCAAAGAAAATAATGTCAACAATAATGTAATTGCAGAGCAATATATTATTTATTAATTAACCTGGATCCTTATAAACAATTGCTTGTGCTAGTGAAATTAAAATGGTTTGTGCTGCTAATCCAATCCTAAGTTTTCCTTCAAGAGACCTGATTAAATATTTGGATTCTTCACCTTGGCAAGAAGCAAGCAATTGTCTGATTTCTCGAACTTTTCTTTCTTGCGACTAAACAGAAAGCAATGGATATTAATTTGGTAATAAATTAGAATAACCATAATAATAAATAATTACATCTTGCCCATTCATATGTGCAATCTTTTTCATAGATTTTAAGACTGATGGAATAGTTAATGGTTTTGGAGCATACAATGTTGGTTGAGTACTTTTACTATCCTAAAACCATAGAGAATGTATAAAATTTAAATTTAAGAGTTTAAATATACAACTGATTTAATTTAATTATTATTATCAATTATTATTAACCTTTGCCACTTTTCCTAAGTCACCCCATTTTGCCAACTCTTCTTTGATTGCTTGAGTTTTTCTACCAGTAGTATCTGCAATTACTTTAATTAATAAAGATTCACCAATACCTAATTCAACATTTTCATAATCTGGACCCACCTTTTTTTTTTTTAATAAAAAATTTATAGTAAGAATCAAAAAAAGATTTACCATTAGCGAGTAATGAGTCATTATAAATAACTTACTCGATTGATACACAAATATAATGAGTCTAACAAATTTTCTGGAGTATTTTCAATAATAAGCGCAAAGAGAGTAACCAAATAATCTTGTTTTTCTAGACGTTTGGTAGTTGATTCAACCATTTCAAAAGTTTTGCATAATACAGAATAAGGCACACTAATATTATGTGTTCATTTTAGAATAATGTTAAAGATTCAGCAAGCTATATATTATTAATTATAATTCAATGTGATTGATAATCTTAACAATATCTTACGGATCTCCTTTCTTCCAGTTCACACCCAAGTCTTTCCTAAAATTGATTTATTATTTAATTGCCTTCTTGTAATAGTTCATTAATTGACAACTCCTTTGTAAATGGCAGTAAAAAATTCCAAACTGACATAAGAAGAAAAAAGTTTTTCACATGATACCATATGGTTACTTACAATTCAATAAGCCTTTTTTTTGTTTCGATTTTTTCTTTTTGCTCTTCCTCTTCTGCTTCTTCCTCTTCTGCTTCTTCCTCTTCTGCTTCTTCCTCTTCTGCCTTTTCCTCTTCTGTTTCTTCTTCTGCTTCTGGCTCTGGTTCTTTTATTTCTTCTTTTGCTGATTCATTCTCTATTCTTTTTTTTGCTTTATCTATTTTTCCTTTGTCCTTTTCCTCTTCTAATTCTGATTCTTTTCTTTCCTTATCCACTCCCTCTTCCTCTTTTACCTTTTCGTCATCAACATCCATGTCTTGATTTTGCTCAACTTTTATTCTTTTATTAACCACCGATAATTCTTCATTTGAACTTTGGGTTCTTTTTTGATGCCCATCTTGTGCTTTTCCAAAAAACGCGCTAATTTGATAGAATTTATATTGTTATGTTGAAGAGATATATATGTAATACTTTGCTTATTTAAATATACAGATAAATATATAAGTGAGTTTTACCCTAGTTTTGTTTGTTTTACCATTTTTTCTCTGAAGCAAAAAGGATTTAATTTTATTTATTATTAAAACACAACACGGTATATACACAATTTAAAGATTTGCACAAAATTTCACGTGAGACAAATAAATAAAAATAAATAAATCTATAATCTATAATATCTATGTGATGATGAATGGAATCTAAAGTTTTGATTTTGTTGATTCTCGAGCTAATTTTTTGTCAAAATTTTTTCCTCGTAAAGAAGCACCACCATCAATTCTAAGTTCAGCACCTGATATCCAGCTACCAGCATCAGATGCTAAATATAAAGCAGCAGCACCTAGATCCACTTCATTGCCCATTCTATATTTTCTTGAAACAGAACTTTGATGATAGGTTTCTGTCATTTTAGTCGGGACTAAACCTGGAGCAATTAAGTTTACGTTAACACCATGTGGACTATAATCAAAATCAAAATTTGTTTAATTTTTATTTACAATGAAATTAATGTTATTATTTAATTATTATTATTGCTGCTAATACTCACGTGAGATAAGCAGCCAAATTTCTTGAAAGACCGTTTAATGCCCATTTAGATACATTATATGGTAAAGCAGTATCCTTTTGAGCAGCAACCAAACTTTCCAAATTACCTTCGCCCATGCCTATCATGTAAAGTGAACAATACTTTATTAAAATTATAATGTGCATTGTCATTTATCCACACAGAATATAGAACTTGCCAGCTGCACTGCCAATAATAATAACTTTGGAAGGATGTTGTGGAGCATTACTAGCTTTTTGGAGTAATGGTAAACATCTATTTATTAGACAAAGAAAATAGCATTATATTTCAATTTCAAGATAACAACAGTAATAAATAAACGATCAATAATAACCTACGCTATAGTTAAATAGAATACACTAACAACATTTACTTTCCAAACTGCATCCCACGAACTTTCAAGTATATTTGTTAGGGGAGCATGTGTAAAGACAGCAGAATTATTGACTAGAATATCAAGTTTACCATCCTCAATATTAGCAATTCCGTTTGCTAAGTTATCACATGCTAATTTTGATGATAGATCTGCTTGTATTGGGATACATTTCCCTCCTGATGATGATCCTATTTGATTTAGTTCTTTGGCAGCTATTTATATATAATGAATTAAATCTTTTTTTTAAAAAAGATTAATTTAAAATAATAAGTTTTAATTTTTATTTTTTACCTTCATTCAAAGTCTTTTTATTTCTCGAGGCAATATAAACTTTTGCGCCATTTTTTACAAAAGTTTTAGAAATCATTTTACCAATTCCAGTTCCACCTCCTGTTACCAAAGCTATTTTCCCTTTCAATGAGAATAAATTTGATGATGATAATTCATTCGCCATAATCGATCAAGGATTTTTATTATAATTAAATTTACTATACGATTGTTGAGTGAAAGATATAATTTGTTTTTGGGATGTAACTTTTTTTTTGAATCGTGGCTAAATCCTGTTACTGTTACAATTATTACTATTATAAAATTTTATCTTTAAAAATCCTTCTAAAATAGGTTCAGGTAATTCGCACCCTGATCGTACTTACTAAAACTGGAAATTCAATCGAGAAAAATTTTTTTTTTAATATTTCTATATTTACACATTTGTGTATTTATTTATTTGTTTGTTTATTTGTTGCGATGATTGACGCGATAATAATAAGATCCAGTGACATAATACGCGATATTAATATTATTAATATTATTAATATGCTAGGAAATTTCGTATTATTGCGATATTTTACAAGTATTCATACTGAGTGAATCATTTTATTAATGACGCGAGTTATTTTCATGTGTAGTTTAATCAATAATATGTAAAACGGT